AATTATAAGAAATTATAATATAATAAATAATTATCGGTATTCAGTATTGGTGAGTACCGAAAAAAATATCGGTACTCGTGCTCGATACCGAAAAACCAGTATCGGTGCATCACTAGTTACAAAACTTAACATGTGCACATGATGTCTTTCTAAAAAAGAGCCAAGATAGTTGCATTTTATTATAATATTTTTCTAAAAAACTATTAAAGAAGAACTGAAGCCAAAACTTTTTTAAATAAGGGAGGTATATAATCCTTGACAGCTTTTTTGCCATCTGTGTCCTATTGGGGAGATTTCCCTTCACTTCCTGTCTGATAGCCACAACAGGAAGTGAGAAGAAATCCCTCTAAAGAAAGGGAAATTGCTGATGGCCAGCAGAGTCAGCAGAACTACTGTCCCCATTGGAAGATTTCCTATCTATTCCTGTTCTGATAACAACCCAAAATTTGGGATTTTCTTTTACTCTCAGGGGTCTATTCACAAAGCTGCCGAAGGATCTGGCCGTAGCTTCGGCCGATCCTTCGGCTAGCTTCGGCCCCAGGACCCCTTCGGTTCAGGAGAACCGAGGGGGTGCTGTACGGGCTATTCACAATAGCCCGTACAGCTCCCTAGTCGAACTCCTTCTGCACTTCGGGTCAGCCGAACATGCTGAGCATGTTCGGCTGATCCGAATCCACACGAAGCAAGCCGATGTACGGCTGATTTCAGCCGATATACGGCTGAAATCAGCCATACCAGCCTGAAGTGAATAGCCGAACAGTGTTCGGCTCACTTCACTTCTGATCGGTCATTCACTCGGCTGACCTCGGCAGCTTTGTGAATAGACCCCTCAGTGTTGACAGTCAACAGGTAAAATGGAGAGGGGGAATCTCCCTAAAAGGTGTTCTAATCCCTCTCTACTCTTTCTAAAATAAAACAAATGTTTTGGCTTCAACAGGAAACTATTAGGTTATTATTTGTGACCACAAAGTATATATTTCTACTCTCCCTTCAACTCTGGTATACAGCACCCGTTGATGATGTCCTCATAGGTACAGGGCTATGACATAATTGATTGTTTTAATAAAAATGCCACACTAAAAGCTTTCTACACTCATAGTAACAGCGATCCTTTCGTTAGCTCCCTATCCGTTGGAATAAACTACACACATACTACTATGCAGATGCTTCCTGATGTGAATTCAGTGCCAGACAAATACTTCACCTTTCTCTGTTGTACTTGCAGCTTTCATAGTTCTAGACAACGAATTATGGTTAAAAAAGCACATCAGAGTAGTAATGCAGGAAATGTTTAGAAAAGAAATTGAGGACACCAAATCCTCAATTTCTTTTTCTACAGCACTCAATGAATGGAAAGCGCTCAGTACAAAGGCTTCCCATTCAAATATTTACTATGCCGCCCACAGGACGAGCTGTGACGGCCGCATGGCGCCCTTGTTGCCATGGCGCCCTGTGCGGCCGCACGGCTCGCACACCCCTAAGGCCGGCCCTGTTTATAGGTGACTTTTATTAATGCAAGAACTAACGGAGAAATGTAGTATTTAATTAACAGAAACAGACAAGCGTATACAGTCAGCCAAGGTATGGGTTGTCACAAAACTCCCAGTAAACCATAGTCAATAGAAACAATGGACTTGGTGGTTGTTCTTTGTGGTGTCAAAAGGTAATCTGGCATTAATCCAGCACAATACAATTAAATGTTTCCCTCATAATATTTCACAGTCTGTGGATAGAACACCAAAGAAAACAGAGAATCTTCCATCCAAAGATTAATAAGAAAGCAGAAAACGTATATTTTTGAGCAGTAAGTGATAAACTTTTTCAGCTTTCATTATATTCACATTCATAGATAGGGATTTCAGAAGTAGCACATATATATATAGAGAGAGAGAGATATATATAGAGAGATATATATCTCTCTATATATCTCTCTATACAGGTGAAACTCGAATAATTAGAATACCATGCAAAAGTAATTGCAGTAAGTGCTGCAAAAGGGGCCCAAACCAAGTACTGAGTACATATGCATGCTTGTACTTTTCAGAGGTCCGATATTGTTCTATGTACAATCCTTGTTTTATTGATTGCATGTAATAATCTACTTTTTTGAGGTTGTGGATTTGGGGTTCTTGGGGTTTCCATGAGCTGTAAGCCATAATCATCACAATTATGACAAATCACGGCTTGAATTATCTTGCTTTGCATGTAATGAGTCTATCTCATATATTAGTTTCACCTTTTAAGTTGCATTAGTGAAATAAATGAACTTTGCACGATATTCTAATTATTCGAGTTTCACCTGTATATATGTATAAATATATATAGGTATATATATATATATATCATATGTATATATATATATATATTCCTTTTGATGTGCAGGGCAGTGTTTTCTCCTCGTACTAGAAGGTCTGTTTCTACCTGCTTATGTGCAGTGTCCAGTAAAATCCTCATAAGAATGGGGTTGAAAAGGCAAGTAGCGAAGGGATTGAAGAATAGCTTTAAGACCCCTAGAAACTAAAACTATTTGTTGGTTTCTTACTGTATAAGCGGTAAAAACATTCACGATAAAACATACAGACTGTCATATTATTTACAGAAACTCCTTGGATTTGATTTATGTGGAGAAACCTCCTATGCACTTTTTTGTAAGGTTACATGCCAGTTTCTTCCATTCTGGTTATTACTCATTGTATGTATAATGGCTGGTTATGTTCTCTGTCAGACTTCATTCTTCCTGTGGAGTATACTGAAAGGAATGGTGCAGCATGTCAGTACAACTCTGCCAGAATTCAGTCTGTGGGGAGCTTTTATGCTTTGTCGTCTCTTTGAAATGATACTTTATCTTTATTTTTATTCATGTTCTAGGTACAAGCCAAGGGAAAAATTGAAAGTGCACTTTGGTACTCCAGAGTTCCTTGCCCCTGAAGTTGTGAACTATGATTTTGTCTCGTTTCCCACAGACATGTGGAGTGTGGGAGTCATTGCCTACATGCTGTGAGTTGGCCAAAAGCATACGTCTGTTTTGTGTGAAATATTCTTTATCAATTTCTTTTTTAGATTTATTCTTGGTTTCCTGTCTATGCAGGCTCTTTTGCTGAACTAGCTTTTGTGCTGAAATTTGAAAGGGAAAACACGAGTGCTATTGCTGAAACAGCAAGGGCAAATGAAAAATAAATATTTTTATCTTTTTATACAGCAGGGTAGAGAGACAAAGAGGTCAAATTCATTATCATTCATTAAAGAGACTGAGTACAATCACATTTAATCTGACCCTCTATGTACCCTGTGGGATGAATTCCTCACAGATTCAGTCTGTTCATTTTGATATAGCATACAGTGCAATGTAATCATGGTGATGGACATATTATATTGAATTTTTTTTGGTTAAAGTTGAACTGTAGGCAAAATAAAAATGGCACATACAATGCACTCTGTCACTAGCATTAACACAGCCGGTTTGGTTACTCTGAGTCAGCAATTATTGTAGCTTTATTTCATCTTTTTATTCCGTTAGTAAATCCTTTATTTTTCTACTTCCACAACCCTTATTAGCACTGCAAAGAAGGAAGCAGATTCTTCATATAACAAGCAAATATGGTTGCGCCTATGTACATGTATCATTGCAAATTATACATGGAACAAGGGTTCTTAATGTGATCCTATCACTAGAGGGTTGATACTAAAATAAAGCCCATCTGTTAAAGAAAGTGCTATATTATCACTTTTTCAGTGGCCCATATCTTCAAACTCAGCCATATCAGCCATTTTGCTGATCCCCCACTGCTGCAAGGATTTGATATTTCTGGGAGTCTACAGAAATCAAAAGTGCCCCTAGAAATAAGCTTCCTGGTTAAACCATTTTTAGGTAGAAAGATCAGCTCATGTGGACCAGCAGTAGCCGGTTCAACCACAGGGGAAGTTGCACTGCAGCACTGGTTTGTTAGTGCGATATAAACATACTCCAAAATGCCAGTATTTTTTTATTTTTATCCATAGACGCCATTTATTGGTTACAGCTGTGAGCCGTGGCTAAGGCCTGGATTGGATTTGAACAGGAATGGATTCAAACTGGGTGCTGGAATTTTGTATTTGTTAAACCATTATCACCCAGATTGGGTTTTAATCATCTCATGTTTTTTTTCTGGTCTGATACTTTAAACTGCTAAACTGACTACCTTAGATGGAAAAAAAGTTGCACGTACCTCAGTTTCTCTTTTTGAGAAACTCCTTCTTAACGTAAATAGCTACGCTTACACTGATGCTGGGTACAAACATTTGAATTTTGTTTCAGATTTGAACTGTTGATTTAGAATTTACCAAGAACTATGTAGTGCGATGGTCTACCTTGCAGGATATAAATGTACGGCTGCACTCATAGTAGGCATTTTTGGGCAATCTGGGATTCCTGCGGCAAAACCTATGGATACTTGCTGCAGGAATCCCAGGAGTGCCCATTCAGATGCAACGGATGTACACATTCAAGTTAAAGATGGGGTGACAGTGGCCATATCTGTCAGTGGCAGTCTGCATGTAATCATACATGGTACGATTACATGTGCTTTGGGATAGATGATTGTCCCTAAAACATCTACCGTATTTGCCGGCGTATGAGACGACATTTTATACTTAAAAACATCCCCCGAAAATCGGGGGTCATCTTATACGCCGGGTATACATGCTAATCTGTCAGTCTGCTGGAATACTTTATGTACGGTAGCTTCCGCTACATACAGTATACCGCACTGAGCCAATCACGGCTAGCGATGTACACAACCTCTGCCAATCCGAGCAGGCTTTGTATTCATTAATAGAATACATCGCTCGCCGTCATTGGGTCAGCGCGGTATACTGTATGTAGTCGTACATACAGAATTACCGCACATCCAGCGGGCTGACAGATTAGTGGGTGTATTTAAACATTATTTTGGGCTTAACTCGTCTTATACGACGAGTATAGCCCAAAACCTATGTTTTAACTGGAAAATTAGGGGGTCGTCTTATACGCCCAGTCGCCTTATACGCCACCAACGACGGTATCCTTCATCCAGGGACAATCATCTACCATCTATCTACCATGTGCAATTACATGTGGTTCAAGATAGATGATTTCACAGAAATCCCCGAATGCAGCATAAGCCCAGTGTGAATGAGGTCTAAATGTCATGTTTAGTTAGGCCCTTATAATACATAGCTGTTGGTAAATTACTTGATCTGGTAGTTTAATTGTGATACAACATCTCACTATGTGTGGCAAGTTATTTTCAGAGTTAGACTATGGCACTCAAAGGAAACTATAGGGATCTGTTCAGTAGTGTATGTATGACAGATTATTCCCTCGGTTCTCCTGAACCGAAGGGGTCCTGGTGCCGAAGCTAGCCGAAGGATCGGCCGAAGCTACGGCCAGATCCTTCGGCAGCTTTGTGAATAGACCCCTATGTGTAAAGCTGAACAGAGCCATCATTTGACTTTTTGTAACAATTGTACCTAGTTCCTTAAACAGCAGTTCAATGGCATTTTGTTTAGACTGTATAAGTTGACAGTACAATTGTTGTACATTGTTTAGTATGTTTTATTGTTTATAACCATTAGTTATCTAAAATATTTTTGTTTTTACACATAGGTTGAGTGGTCTTTCACCATTTTTAGGGGAAGATGACAATGAAACTATGAACAACATCTTGACTGCTGAATTTGATTTTGAAGGAGAAGAATTTCAAAATATTTCAGATATTGCAAAAGATTTCATCACAAAGTTAATCATAAAGGAAAAATGGTAAGCCATATAATCATCCAAATTGTTTAATACAAGTATAAATATGTAAAAGTGTATATATGAACTACATTCTAAGATTTCTGAGCTATCAGTATTTTGATTTTGATGTGAACTAGTTTTGTAAGGCATACATGTTTCTGCAGTTTCATTGAGCTATAATGGGCACTGGCAGCTTTTGATGGAGGGTTCCTAAGCCAACAAGTAGCATGCAGTTGTCAAAGCTTTGGATAGAGTGGGAAAGAGTTACAACCTCTGGTATCTTTTCAGTGTCCCCATTAGGGAGATTTCCCATTACTTTCTGTGTGATTTTTCATACAAAGATAAATGATTAGCACGCAAGTTTTTATGACTTCTTTTGGAGATTCTCCTTAAGAAACCTTTGGACAGGAAGCATAGGGAATTCTTCCCAATGGATTCCCAGAAGTTAAAATTTAACAAAAGATCTAACCCTTACCAACTCTATCCAAAACAAAAACAAACACTTAAAATGGTCCTTCCCACATCCTCCACTTTATGGTAAACCACCACCATAAATGAAATTAGTATTGGAAAACACATACATATAATTATTTTTACTTGCTCATTTCTTTTAATCTCTCCACATCCCAATGCTTCCTTCCATCCCTGCAAGGAAACCCACACCGCCATTTTAAAGGTAGACATTATCGATGGCCAGCTTCTTCTTTCGCATTCTCTGTGTGATGGTTGACATCAGCACTAAAGGCTTTTTTCCAGAGAGCTTACCTGATTTTGTGAATATATCTTGAAGTTTGATCATGAGAACTCCCAGGAAGAGACTGGTGACACTTCCTTTCCAGGGGGCATCTGGAAGGCACTAGCTACATCACCAGTGCCTCAAAAAAACAGGAAGTAAATTAGGGAGAAGTTATATTTATTTAACATTTATAACATGAGTTCAATGTGTTTTCAATTCAGCATGTCACTGTGTATTTTGGATGGGGAAGGGTCAGCTTTAAAGAAGCAAATCACAACACCGGTATGGCCTCACAAACTCATTTGACTAGAGCACAGCTTCTAATTGCTTTCTGCAGCTCCAAGGGTACCAATTAATGTTGCTGTATTATTTATTTATAATGATGAGCTTCTTTCTGTGGCCAGAAGCTGCAGCTCATTTTCAATACTTTTCATTATATGGTAGATCATTGTATTTCTATTGAGTTGAATAAAGTAGCCAATCACAGTTTGCTGACTAAATTCATAGGAAGTCAAGAAGAGAGAAATATGTAAGGATAGGTAGATAGATAGATAGATAGATAGATAGATAGATAGATAGATAGATAGATAGATAGTATTTGGTTATGTCCTTTTCTCATATTTCACAAATTATTGTTTATATTCTAGTTGGAGAATGAGTGCTACAGAAACATTGAAGCATCCATGGTTATCAGATTCCAAATTGCACTATAACATTAGTCAGAATTCAACCATGTTGGTAAGTTCTGAATATTATTTAACACAAGCATGAATACATAAAACGTTTTTTAGATTTTAGAAATGTTACCCATTCAATAAGGTCAATTTACTGAACAGGTAGAGACTGTTCACTTAGCTAAGTAAATATTAACTTTGCAAACTGAATGTTCACTTAGCCTAATAGATTTTGTGATGTTATCTTCACTCCAAATCCCATCCAATCATGTGCAAGTAAAAATCTTTTTTCTTTTCTTTTTTTTCCTTTCACATTGGGTATTCAAACTGAACACCAATTCACCTTATTTGCCAAGCTCAGTAAACATTCTCTTTGCTCAGTGAACAGTCTCTACTTTAGTAAATCTTAAGTCTTAAGTTTCCAATTTATACATTTTTATCGTTGAGATTTATTTTTAGTTGCAAATAACATTAATTAGTAGGTAACATGTTGCAAGAATCAGTTTAACTTAATACTTAAATGATTGTGTGCCACCGTGCCAAACCCTACAGAAAATACAGAACTGGCTTCAAATTCCTTAGCATGTTTTAATCTCAAAGTTAATGCCATAATATTGTTATAGTGAAACACAAAGTAATTGTAGACCTATAATACATAGCTTTCATTTGAAGTGCCAACAGTCTTAATTTCTTACCAGTGTGTTTAATAGCTTTATTTCCTTTATATATGTTACTCACGAGTAGGCAATAAAAGTTACTATTCATTCTTTCTTTCCATTTTAGAGAAATGTGAAAAGCTGCTCTGTGTCTGAGACACCTGTAGAACAGTGACATATCCCAGGCTGTAATAAGCAGGTTTGTTGAAATTGCGTACATTGCACAGTCTCTCTGTGTCATATAGAACATGTTTAACAAAGGTCTCTTGTGAGGGTTAATTGTCTGTATGCTAATACAAATGGTGCTGATTTACAGAAATTAAAGGAAAGGTTCATAAATGTGTTGCCTTTTGTTACTAATCAGATTTCAATTGCAATTTTCCCAATGTAGAAATATAATATGAAAGAACACTGCTGATTGGTTGTTGTAGACAACAGACACCTTCTTTTTTTTCTTCCAGTGTCTATAATCCTACCCCTTTGTCATAAATGTCTGGGCCCCTTTTTTGTACTGTTTTTAATATATAGTAAAAGGTGCTGTATTGAGGCTAGACCAGAAAATGTGTCTTTACAACATAAAATGGGTTTGACCAAAACAACATCTCCACTCTTTTGAGCAAAAGCATCACAACAGATCAGATGTGAGGTATCAATAAACAAAAAAAACATTCTGAGGAACCAGCTTGGTCACCTTACATTTTTATTTTAACAGTGCAACATAGAAGATATAGAAGATCTCATGTCTTTGTTTTGTTAAAGGATAAAGGAATATATTTATTGCTGTCATATATGGGAAAACTACTGGTCAAACACAAATAGCTTTCACAATTTTTTGTACCCAGTCACCTTACTTTTTTTTTGCCTCTCAGCTGATGGATATTATGTAACACTAACAAGCTCTAACAGGTTCTAAGGCTGTAACATTTGACCTGAGGAGGCTTACTCTATCCATTTTTTAAACTGTCACAAGTAAATTCTTAGCACTGAAGAACAGCGTGTGCTCTATGTGGGGCTTCAGACGTTCCCCAGGCCGAGCCAAAAGGTGACATGTGATCCCACCAACAGTAATTGCTGCTCCTACATAAAAATTAATTTAAGCCAGCCAGCCCCACTGGTTGTCCTGGTTATTTTGTTTACCAGGAAAGGTAATGATCCAGCATGAGCAGGGGATGTAATTCTAGGTACCTGCAAGATAGCGGTAATTTGGCCAGCTGTAGACAGTCTGGATTAGCATTTCCGTGTCTAGACAGGGGCTAAAAGATGCTGTTGCATTGGATAATATGGTGTAACAAGTAAGCCCTTCCAGCAGGGCCCTTGGAACTTTGAGCAATTGAAGCTCCTTGCTTGTCTGAATAGCAAAATCACTGTCAAAAGTTTTTTTCCTTTCTATATCACCCCGTACAATGGCGAAGTAGGTAATACATAGTTGCCCCTGAATACCACTATCGAGCCAGTAGACTGAGCCATACAAAGTTTGCCACAGTGGCCATGACGTCCACCTATTCTGGTCCAGTTCCCATTCTAGCCAACCTTTTGCACAATCATAAAAAAAAATTGCATTCTTAGTTTGAGGTGATCGCTTGTCTGGCCAGTATATACATTAGCAACAGAATACCAAGAGTAAAGCAATGTACGTGATAGCCATATACCATGTTATTAGGAAAGTTAACATATAGGTAAAACCTGTTATTACTAACTTGTTATATTGTAGTGCTAAGTTTGATGAATACTCAGTCCTCTGTATCAGCATGGTGACTCTTGCGAACGGGGCTCAGAACTGTCAGAGCTCCGGTGATCGATCGAAAGTAACGGAGCCAGGACAGCAAGGAGCGGCTGCTCTCATAGTCAAGTACGCGATCCGTGACCGCGTGCCTGACTGAATCTCCACTCGCCCTCTCTTTATTTCCACTCGCCAAATGCGAGCGGGCGAGTGGAAATTTTGAGCCCTGATCTATACAATGCCTGCCTGACAAGAGGAAGTACTAACATATACAGTATTTAGTTAAACAATAATATATATAATTTGACTAAATAGGAAATACACAAATGTAAACACAGTACTTTAACCCCTTCATGACTGAGGCCCTTTTTTCATTTTTTTTTTGTGTGTACATGTTATAATCCCCATTTTAGGCCTGAAAATTACTTAAACCCCCCAAACATTGTATATTTTCTTAAAGCCGAGACCCTATAGAATAAAATGGTGGCAATTGCAAATTTTTATGTTGCACGATATTAGCGCAACTCCTTATCAAATCCTAACATTTAATGATAAATGCACTTAAATGCCCCGTAACACAATAAAATACCATTTTGTTTTGTAAAATATAAAAGATGACGTTACAACGAGTATTTATTACATACCCAACATGCCCAGGTTAAAAATGGTGTGCATCCGTGAAACTGTGACAAAATTCAGTACCCCAAAAAGTCCATAGGCAATGCATTAAAAGCCCCTACAGATCGTCAGTTTAGAGATATGTGTAAATATTGGCGCTATAATTAGTGCTCTCACTCCGGCATGCGCAGCGATACCCAACATGTGTAGCCCGATCGTCATTTACATACGTAGGCGCACCAGACGTGTGCTTACATGGAGATGCACGTGCTCGCGGGGGGTGTGGGACTTTAATTTTTTGTATTGTTATTTTTACATTTATTTTATTTAATATAAATTTTAAAAACTGTTATTTTTTTAACTTTACTTTAATTGCTGTCACATAGGGGGACTTACAAGTCCCCCATGTGATAGCATATTGGTGGTGACATGTACTCTTTAAGACCTCTTTAAGATCCAAAAGACCCCTAGTGTCACCTTTACACTCTAGATAAGCTATTGGGTCCGGAAGTGATGTAATCTGCATCACTCCCGGTCCCATAGTACGTGGAGGAGGTCGGTGAACAGAGGTTCTCTGATCTCCTTCCAAGCTGCCCCCCCCTGAGAAGCCAGTTCCGGGCCCGTGGGAGGAGCAGCGGAGACCAGGAAACACGGTGGCGGTGCGAGGGGCCTCCATTTACCGGCCCGTATTAGCGATCTGGCAGCAGCTGAGCCACCAGAACGCTTCTACTGTAAAGCCGACAGTTGGCTTTACAAGTTTTAAAAAAGTCCCGGCGCTCTGTTTAAACGGGCCTGGTGCCAGTGACGTACTATGGACGTCACTTGTCATTAAGAGGTTAAATGAAAACTTACAATTATTTGAAACAGAGGAAGGTGACAGACCACGATGGTCACTGATCTGCAGGACATAGAAAGGGAATGTCTGCGCTTAGATCTACCCCTAAGGCTCCATTCACACCTGAGTGGCTATCTGTGCGTATTCGGCTGTACAGATACGCGTGGAGTCGCTCTAAACAGAAAATACAATGCCCTTTAATGTACATCGTTCAGACCATTGCGGGTAGAGGTGCACCGAAATGGAAATTTTAAAAATGAAACGAAACTGAAATAAAAAAAATTGTCAGACCGAAACCGAAAATGTTTTTTTATTTAAATTTTTTTAAATCTTTTTAATATATATTTTTTTTAAATAAACTTTTTCATTTTTTATATTTATTAATTAATTTTTTATTAAATTTTTTTATCCATGCTTTTAGGGGCTTCGGGGAAATATTGGGGGTCTAAACAGACCCCTGATGTTTCCCTTTTAAAATAGAAAAACAGATTTAGGACACAAAGTCCTCTATCTCTTTTTCTGTATCCCCTGTTATCAATGAACAGGAATGAGTGTTCCTGTTCATTGATAACATGAGGACATTGTATGTTTACTATACCTACAACTATGAATGAACATGAGGTGATGCAGATCACTCCCATTCATTCATAATTGAGGATATAGTAACCATACCATGTCGTCAATTATCTACAAACACTCAGCGATCACTGATCGCTGAGTGTTTGTGCCCGCTCTCCTCTCTGACACGCTGTCACAGGAGGCTGATCGAGCGGAGCAGGGAGGTGAGCTCAGCCTCCAGTGACAGCGCTGGCTGTCTCCACCCACACACCGCTCTGCCGGACTGTGATAGGCGGCCGAGCGGTGTGGGAGGAGAGACACCGGCCGCTCACAGCGCTCTCCTCCTGCAGCGCTTGGCCGGCTGTCACTTTCTTTTCTCCCCACTGGAACACAGAGCAGCAGGTAGAAAAGAAACCAGGGATGCGCCGATGTATCGACCGAAACATGTGCCATTTTCGGCCGATATGTTTCGGCGGCCGATATATCGGTGCATCCCTAATTGCGGGGCTTATGTCCCCCGAAATAGTACGAGCGCGATAATCCCGCGGATTCCACACATTCGCGGCTATTTAATAGCTGCAAACGAGCGGCATCTGTGCGGATTTAAAATATTAGCGTTTTCGTCCAGCATGGTCTTCCGCGTGGGAACCGCAAACGCTATATGTGAATGCAGCCTAACATAGATATATGCATGTTACTAGTATCCTGTATAGTACCTTGCATTATAGGTTTAGGGACATTGATATAAAATGATGCTGATGAATAAAAACCACTTCTCTTAGCATATTTTCTCAGACCATTAGAAACATTCGAACTCTTAACTGAACCTGTTTCTTATGTGGATTTGTCTCCTACTGTTGCAATCATTATAGATAAAACCTGTTTTGAGACTTTGCACAGTTTGTAGTGTGAAATAGGTATGTCGACATTGCCTGAAAGAACTACTGAATTATTTTTATGTATTTAACTATTACTATCTATGTTATGTATCTACATAATATTATCAATACTTTTGTAACTGAACCAAGAAGCAGTGATGCGCTGTAACCATCCAGCATTCAGCATTCAATAAATCTGACAAGCTGCTAAAAGCTGATTTGAGGTTGGTCGCAGCACATCATCGGTCTCTGAGTCACGTTATTAAATACGTTTTTGTGTTTTGGAGGAATGGCCATTTTTACTAGTCTACCCTCAAGGCAGCTAATAATAAGGTTTTCAGAGAGCCATAACCTTAAGTAATAAAAATAATGAACTGAAGAAAAGTAGCAGAATGAACCAATGAACTAAAAAAAATTAAGTATTGTATTTTGTTTTACAGAAACACTGCTATGTGGCTTCTACTGTGAGACCTCTGAGCAAATCTGGTGCTTTGACCTTTTGTGACACGACTGGGACATTTACTAGCTGGATGAGTGCCATTTCACCTCTGGCGCGGGTCTTGGCA